TTTATAGTCTAGAAAGCAAAAACATATTAATTTTCTCTGAATGTATGCTTTATTTTTGGAATACTCGGAACCTCTCTCCAAATCATTTTGCTAGCAGGTTTTGTGCTCATTTTGTGAAGCCTTCGTGAGAGATTTGTTAAACCATAAAAGGGGTTATTCGAAGACAAAACCCAATACTTATGTATTAAGGAAGCATAAGCAGCTGGAAAAATGAAAAATACAGGGCATCAGAGAGAGCAAACACAAACATAACATTATGGAGAGTATAGAGACATCACATATAAGCGAAAACATGAAAACTCTAGTCTGAGCTGGGACTTATTCTTATAAAAGTGTCAAGTTATCCCAGAACATTCATCGAAACCCGTGAACAAAAATTTTAATCTTATAATTTTGTGAAAAAATTGCAAAACATACTAGGCTAGTGTGAATGGGAAGTGGTCCAACTTGCTGCGCCACTTGCATGGCAACTTGACTTGACAGGCCTCGGTTATCAGGTAGCTGGCCCTCAGAGCGGTCTATCAGCCAGACTCCGTCACTGAAACTCTCAGGAGCTGTCAAGCTCATTGAGTAGACGTCTCCAGTCAGCTCACCATTGTCGCTTGTTGCTGATATATTCATTAAAACTGCGGGTTTTTCCAGGAGCTCCATTTTACCTCTGACCCGTAGAGGACGCAAGTCTGCTTCGGTTGTACTCGGAGGGCTTTCAGTGTCCAATTCGTGCAAGGTATCGCTCGTTTGAGTCACTGGGGCTGGTTGAGTTAGGGGGATATGATCCATTCTAAACAACCATTAAGTGAGGCATTAAGGTACATAAGAATAATCCAGCATTGGCTAAAACATGAACATCCAAGAATATATATCAAGATGGTGGAATCATCAGATTCTTCAATCTTTAAAGAATTGTATAGTGAGGCCAAAATTGGGTCGGAATTTAATTCCCTTAAGGCTTTATAGGATTTAGTGATAAGAAAGGGACGATGAGCTTTTAAATTTTAATTTCTCTTAGTTATACTTTGCACTGT